AGAGACAGCCCCTCTTTCCGTGGTGCCTACGGTCTGGCCATGAAGGTGGCCTGTCCTCCGCCCACTGTCCAGCAGAACAAAAAAAGTAAAATCTAAACCATTGTTTTAATTATTATTATTATTATTATTATTATTATTAATATTTACCTCAGTGTTTTTCTGCCATCAGTGGGTGACATGACCAATGAGCTGGTGAGACACTTCTTGATCGAGACCAGCCCCAAAGGTGTCCGTCTGAAGGGCTGTCCCAACGAACCCTATTTTGGTGAGTTTAACTCTGATCGTGAGACCATTTAGAACATCAGTGTGTTACGTTGTTTATAGCTGAGGTGTTTTTGTGTGTGTGTTTCTGCTAGGTTGTCTGTCTGCTCTGGTCTACCAACACTCCATGACTCCACTGGCTCTGCCCTGTAAGCTGATGATCCCCACCAAAGGTCAGCACCATTTTTCACTATTTTTTAATAATAACTTATGGTATAATAAATTGTTACCTTCGCCATCTCCCAATCTGTATTTAGAAAGTCTTGTTCCATCATTCCAACTTATGACGTCAAAACTCACAACTAGTTTTGCACGTGAAGTATATATATATTCTGATTGTGTGTGTGTCTCTGTGTGTTTTCTCACCCAGACCCAAATGAGGAGGCACTGGAACTAGCGACCCCTACTGACCCAGTGGTTGAACTGCTTAAACAAGGAGCAGGTGAAAAATAAGTCCATTAATGAAATCATTATGCTTTGATAATCAGTAACATCCAATCAGAACACTTGTAGAACACCAGGTGGTTTAATGTGAAGTTATAGAACTGAATCAGACCATGAAGCCTCCATCAACACCAGTCCATTTGATTCAAACATGTGATGTGATTTAATCTGGACATTTCTAGAATCTTAGACAGAAGTCACACCTCTGTTCATGTTGTGTGTGTGTTCAACATAGAGCAGAACAGAACCTCACACTGTCGTCTTTTCTTTACAGTTCAGAAGGTTCCAGAAGAAGCTCACGGTAACTCATCCTCTATTCTGCTCACACATTTTATTTCTTCTCTTTCTTCATTTTTAGTAAAAGCTGTGACATCACAGTCAGATATCATTGAAGTGAAAAGGAACAAAATATCTATATATTCATACATACAGCCACATACATTTATATATGTATATAAAATAAGTGAAAAAAATAAAAAAAGTGAAGTAAAATGAACACAACCATACAACATAAAATGAAACAATACTTAAATATATCAACCTCTGACCTCAAAGTCGTAAAATGTAAAGATTCTTTTTTTTTCATTTCCATATTAGCTCCTATTGCTGAACTCTTAATGCTGTGCTTTTTGTATCGTAGTATGATTCACCTTGACCTCTGTTTGACCTCCAGCCTGTAACGTCCTCTACATCAACTCTGTGGACATGGAGTCTCTGACGGGACCTCAGGCCGTGGCCAAGGCCATCAGTCAGACCCTGTCCACTAACCCCCTGCCTGTAGCCACCACCGTCCACTTCAAGGTGTCCCCACAGGGCATCACCCTCACAGACAGTCACAGGAAGTGAGTGAAACATCAGCCAACAAACCATCACCCACGACACAGATTGAGAACGTACACACCGTAACTGTGCTTCTTTGTAGGATTTTCTTCCGACGACATTACCCCATCAACACCGTCACGTTCTGTGACATTGATCCCCAGGACAGGAAGTAAGAACCTTCAACCCTGAGGAGGATGTTTGATTCTTTTAAATGAGACATTTTGGTCAATGGAGTGTACTTTGTGTCCACAGGTGGGGCAAAGAAGGAGGGGGCTCCGTCAGGTGGGTTCACATTTGACTGTTCTAGTTCTGATGGTCACTCAGGACAACTGCACCACCAACCAAGCTACAGCCTAACCCAGTTCTCTGGGTGTAGTCATGTATGGAGTGTTGGTAAACAGGTGGCCTGTGGAATCAGTGGGCAGAATCTTTAAGAAAACAGACCAGAGGTTCTAAAGAACTGAACAGTTTAGAGTGGGTTCTCTGCTCCCAGCCCTGAACTCTCTCTGCAGCCGTCTCTGTGTTAGCGCTGACAGACTGTGTGTGTATCTGATAGGTGACAGTTAACAATTACCAATGTAAAAAAAAACAACTTTAGAATCGGGCAAGGCCTTTCAAATGTGCACTTAGCTCCCTCTGCAGGTCAGTACAGGGAAGCTCAACAAACACAGAGGAAAAACGGCATACTCTACCTTTAAGTTAACAGAATATCACTCTTATATTTGGAGATTATATTTCTTATATTTGAAACATTTTTGTGTTTGCAGTCCAGGAATTTGAGCTGTCCATTCTGAACATTCAGAGCTTTGGTCATCTTTTCTATGTTTGTCCGTTTAAGTGCTAAAAATAAATCAGAAGGATTTTAAACCAAAAAGAAAGTTTTCAGCTGGATGAACATTGTTTGTTCATATCAAACCAAACAGGGAACACATTTTTAAGATGTTGTAGATGTGAGCAGGGGATTTCTGTTCACCTTAGCAGCCATGTCAACTTTAATGGAGAATCACGTTCTTTTCTCTTTCGTCCAGGCTTTTCGGGTTCGTCGCTAGGAAACAAGGAAGCACAACGGACAACGTCAGCCACCTGTTTGCTGAGCTGGACGTGGACCAGCCGGCCTCTGCCATTGTCAGCTTTGTTTCCAAAATGATGAAACGGTGAAACGCTGAAACAATGACGTGGTGGTGATCATCATCAAAAAAAAAAATCCTACTCCTTCTTCTTCATCAGTGTCTTTTCCTCCAGGACGCCATGATGTCCTTTGTTTGGTCCCGCCACTCGTCTCCTGTCGGTTGGTTTTTCCGTCTCCCTTCTCTCTCCGTTTCTTTCTCCGATGCTTTGTCTCCACTTTGGTCTTTTTGGGAGGAAAAGGAAAGAAAACTGAAGGATGTGAAGATGAGACGAGAGGAAGTGAAGTGTGGGAGCTGTGAATGTGACGAACATGGAGAACTGATGATGAAATCCCAGAGGACAGAAAGTGCTGCTGGTCACTGACCTACAGGAACGAAGATAGGTTCAGTCCAGGAGGAACGTGGAAGGACTGGTACGTTTCAGGGTTTTCTGTTGTCCTTCATTGATTTACCAAAGGTTGTTGCAACACAAGTGCAAGAAAGAAGTAGCCATCATTATCATTAGAAAAGACGAAGAAAAGAACAAAGAAAAAAACAAAGAAAAAATCTTGTGTTTTAAAACTGGTCTACAGGAAAAAAAAAAGTGGGCCGTGACGGCTTTAACAAAACAGCGTCTGAAGACCTTATGCATGTTAGCTTGATCTTTAAGCTTGGTTCTTTAACAAACGTCATCGAGAACTCTCTGGAGTATGGTCTGTTTTGTGTTGGAAAGGGCTCTGCAGTGAAAACACACGGCTGATTTAAAACTGTGCATTAACAGACCAGACTCAAAAAAAAAGAAGATAAACAAACACACACACACACACACACACACAGGAGGGCTCATCTCAGCTTCAAGTCCAGACCTGAACAGTCGGACTTCTTCTCCACCCCCTCTTCCTGACATCAGTGTCCTCATCCTGCTCCTGATAGCATGTCAAAGGGAGTCAGTCCACCAGGGGTCGCCACTCATTAAGGCTCGGACCCTTCCTCTGCCATCAGGTGGACTTGCCCATCAGTGACTTCTTCCATGAGTGGATCTTCTAGAAACACAATAA